ACAAAATTCACAGGAAATTACATCTACAATGTGAAGCTTTGGCATTCTGAAATTTGGATACTGCAAGTCAGATAATGTTCCTATGGAAATATGAAATATCACATACATCATCCATGTTTTAGTTCAATTTTTTCAACTAGTTTACTATAATTGAGAAATGCACTATTGGGGCAGGTCCTATCTCCAACATAAAAACTTTCAGAAGATGAGACACTCTGATAAGCAGGAACTAAAAAACAGGCTGCAACAATGGCAGGAAAAAAACTAAAGGCATTTCCAAAACTGCAATGTGGGAGGTAAAGGAAGCAGAGTTCACAGTGGCTAAAAGGCTTTAAGAGCCTGAATGAGGCCTGGCACAGTGGCTGACGCTTGTAATCCCAGCACTTTGGGAGGTGGACCGATCACAAGGTCAGGGGTACGAGGCCAGCCTAGCCAACATGGTGAAACCCTGTCTCTACTAAAAATACAAAAATTAGCTGGGCATGGTGACAGGCACCTGTAATCCCAGCCACTCGAGAAGTTGAGGCAGGAGAATCGCTTGAGCCCGGGAGATGGTGGTTGCAGCGAGCCAAGATCACGCCACAGCACTCCAGCCTGGATGACAGAGCTTGACTCCACCTCAAAAAACAAACAAACGAACAAAAGGGCCTGCATGGGGGCTTACACCCGTAATCCCAATACTCTGGGAGGCCGAGGCAGGAGGATAGATTGAGCTCAGGACCAGCCTGGGCAACATAGTCAAAACCCATCTCAAAAAAAATTTTTTTTTTTTTTTAATTAGCCAGGCATGTCGGTGCATGGCTGTAGTTTCACCTACTTGGAAGGCTGAGGCTGAAGGATCCGCTGAGCTAGGCTGCAGTAAGCTGTCATTGAGCCACTGCCCCCACCGGCTTGGGTGACAGAGTGAGACCTTCTCACGAAAAAAAGATAATACAATCTTAAAAGGCTTAAGAAATGGTAAAGGGCACAATCAGAGCTTCTTGGTCTTAATTCGAACAAAAGCAGCACAATTATTTATATAACCACCTCCACCACAACCTTCAAGTCCAAATCCCTTCCTACCCTTAAGCCTCAGGAGCTTTCTGGCAAATTCTCCCCAGAGTCAGTACAGTTTATATACTGCCTCAGAAAAGCAGATTTGCAGAACAGGGTAAGATTAGCACAACTTCTCCACAGAAGAGAAAATAATTTGTTATTTGATCCCATGATTCTTTTACTGCCCCCACCACTAGCTACTAAAGACAACAGTCTAAACATTAATACCTAGGTTTGGTGTGCATTTCTATCTCAAAATGTAAGCCAGAAGTACAAGCACACTAATTAATTTTCCCTTAAAATAAATGTAGCTTTAGAAACTGATTATTTAACTAAGGGACCTGAAACCAATGAATGAGAATGCATGCATAGACAACACCTAACATTATAAATGTGAAAATATTAATAGCAGCAGAGAGTTGCTTTAGTCACCTCACCCTTCACCCTTCCCAGCACACTCCACGCCCCCAAATCCACAAACACTGAACTCATAGCCGAGTGCTTGGCTGGCAAAGGTTGCTAAGAAGCAGCTAGAGGTAAGTAACATTTTAAGTTTCCATCTTTCCAAAAACTTTCTAGGACACAGGTAAGAAAGCTATCTAGCATTAGCTGGGCATGGTGGCAAATGCCTGTAATCCCAGCTACTCAGGAGGCTGAGGCAGGAGAATTGCCTGAACCCAGGAGGCGGAGGTTGCAGTGAGCCGAGATCGCGCCACTGCACTCCAGCCTGGGTAACAAGTGCGAAACTCCGTCTCAAAAAAAAAAAAAGAAAGAAAGAAAGAAAGCTATCTAGCTTGTGTTTGAGTTTGCATTCTCACAGAGAAAAAATTATTTGGCAAAAGCTCTGAATATGCTTTCCACTCCTTTAAATCCTTGGGAATGCAGCCTAGCACTGTGGCTCATGCCTGTAATCCTAGCACTCTAGGTAGCCGAAGTGGGCGGATAACAAGGTCAGGAGTTCAAGACCAGCCTAGCCAATATGGTGAAACCCTGTCTCTACTAAAAATACAAAAATCAGCTGGGCATGGTGGTGCATGCCTATAGTCCCAGCTACTCCCAGGGCTGAGGCAGAACAATCACTTGAACCTGCAAGGCGGAGGTTGCAGTGAGCCTAGATTGCGTTACTGCACTCCAGCCTGGGTGACAGAGCAAGACTGTCTCAAAAAAAAAAAAAAAAATGGGAATGCAATGTAGGAAAAAAAAATGTATATACCCCTTTACATGAGCAACTGCGGCTGTGTACAATGCTGGGATTCTAAGTTTCATCCAGAATTGAAACTCCAGCCCCTCATTTCTGTGGCAGGGTCATTTTATGCCCTGGGAGCTTATCTCAGAAGATTTTACCAAATGCTGCTTTTTAAAAAGTTCTTCTTTTTAACCCTTTATTAATTCTTCCTGGAAATCTAAGAGACAACATTATGGAAATTTGAGCTAAGACAGACAAGGTGAGATTTAGTAAGCACCATTTTACTCTTACAGTTCCTAATACAAGTATATAACTTCAAATTTGCCTTGCCTCAGACAGAAAAAGTTACTGAAATTTTAACTGTCCTGATAAAAGGAGTCTTTTGTGCAGAGGATTGGAAGGGTCACCCCCACAGTGGGAGGAGCCTGCCTTCTCCAGACCTCCAGCTCTCAGGATCAGCTAACTGCCCTGACATACATTGTGGAATGATAGACGCAGCACATTCCTCCCAACATCAGCACTGCTGTACTAACTCTCAGAAGACCCACACTGACTTCTACAGCAACTGGGATTCCTGCCAATGCAGTTAACGTTCACTTTGCCTATAAATGTGACCAGCTCCCAGACCACTACCTTTTTTCTACAGTGTACCTCACCAATAACCCGTTGTTCCTCTGACATAACAGAACACACATAACATAATAGGCTGGGCTATGGCACCAGAAAGACCTAGGTTGACACTCAATTCCATCACTTAACAGCCTTGTGACTTGATTTCTAAGCCTGTTTGCTTTTCTGCAAAATAGGAGGAAAATCCAACAGGGATATTTTAAGACAGACTCCAAACTAGCCTTCAGGTTGAATCCAACATTAAAGACATGTTACGTTTAGTCCATAGTGTTTTAATTTTTTTTAATGCTACACTTAAAAGTCAGGAGATTCATCAAAATAGAGACAGCCAACAATCAGCTAGTGGCTCTTTTCAGAAAAACAAACTTTGTAGCTCAATAGCCATTACCTCTCCTTCCTCCTCCTCCTCTGCTCATTTATGTTACCTCAGGCCCCTGGAGGGTTTGAGTTTGCAACCCATTTTAAAGATTAAGAACACAACTAATGGCTGTGTTCAGTGAAAATGCTTCTTAAGGCAGCTATTACCATTTGCTCCCTAGTGAAGTTCGGTGCTGAGCCTGGAGTCTTACTACTCTATCACGCTCCTCCACTTTTCCCTTCACGGACACTGGTTTGTGCACTACAGTGAAAGAAAAGCCCATGGACCATTCCCCTATCGAATGCCTATGGCCTAACCCAAACTGCAAACGTTCCCACCATCATTCACCACCGGCATCGCTCTGCAACCGCCGACGTGCTGCCCAGGCTGGCACAACCTCCCTGCCACTCGCGGGAGCCTAGGCCAGGGAGTTGTTAATAAGACGAGCCGTTCGGAGGGGGGAAGCGAGGCATTTTTATATTACAAAGGTTGACTTACAGAGCAGTCAACTTCCAAATCCTGTTTCTATAAACTGAGCAGGCGCTACCAGGCCACCCAAAGTTCAAATCGCCGTGACAAAAAATTTAAAAAGCCAAACTCTATAGCAACGTCCTCTGGGAATATAGCTCAGCTCCAAGCCAGCACAGCGGGGACAAGTAAAAGACCAGTGATGAGTCCCCAAAACACGGTCCCCAGGGTTTTCCGACAGTCCCCTGAGCTCCAGAAGCTTTTCTAACTCTGCAGAAAACCAATCGGGAAAACAATCGCCAACCTGAGGTTTCCAAGGTTAGGTTCTGTTTGAATGTTTTATTTTTCACCCCGCGTGTGTCCCTAGACTCAAAGGGAGCAGGAGCCTCAGGGTGCAAACTGTCCTCAGCAGACACTCCTCCCGCTGGCAGGGGACAGCCCCGTCACCTGAGGGGCGGCCAAGAGACGGGCGGTGCACCTGCGCCTTCCAGAACGGGAACCCCACCCACCGGCCCCCCGTCCCCATCAACCACGCAGCCCAGCGGTTGACTCGGGTGCCAGGAGACTACGGGAGGCAGGGCGGTAGCCAGGGAGACCGAGGGAAGCGGCTGCCGGAGAACCGGGGCGCCAGTCGGGGCCGGGCTGCAGGCGCGGGGCGGGGAAGGGGGCCCGGCGGGGGCGCCCCGGCCTCTCAGGGCGGGTTCCGCGGCCGACGCTTCCCCACGGGAGGAACCCCGGCTGACCGCACGGTGGAAGGGGCCAGGCCCGCAGGCAGCAAAGCGCCGCCGAGAAAGCAAGCGCGCGCCCACGAGGGCGCCCGGAAGCCCAGGGGCCGCCCGGCTTTTCTCGGTCGGGTCCCGGGGCCGGCGCGGGGCCGCTCACGGGGCCTTCCGGCCTCCCCGGGCCCCCGGGAAAGGAGGCAGCAACGCCTCGGTCGACCCGACCGCAGAGGCACCCACGAGAGAACAAGCCCCGGGGAATGACGCCGGCGGGGACACCCCAAGGTGAGGGCCCCTCGTGGGCGAGTCCCCCCAGCCCCCGGGTGACCCCGCGCGGGCACAGGCCCGCCCGACCAGTTCGTCAGCGAAGCCGCCCGTCCGCGCCCCGGCCGCTGCTCCACAAACCTGAGGCCGGACCCGAGTCTGGAGACCCGGCCTCGTCCGGCCCTGAGGAGAATGACCAGAACGCCGAGGCCACATGCACCCGCCCGCCGGGCCGCAGGGTCCGCACAGCGCAGCAGCGCGGGCTCCGGCCGCGCCCCGCCGGCGCCACCTCCGCGGCCTGCACGCCCGCCCCTCTCCCACCCACGGCCGCGGGACCCACCTCAGAGCCGACAGCCCCGCGGGTCTCCCGGGTGCGAAGCCCCGCCAGTCTTCCGCCCTCGCGCCACGCGACTCGGCCAGCCTCGCCCCAGGACTCCCGTTCCGGCGCCAAGCGAAGGTGTGAAGCCACGTGACCTGCCCGGGCTCGGGCAGCCGCACGCGGGGCTCGATCCCTCCGCCTTAAAGGGGCCGAGGACGCCGCCGTCGCGGGGCTCTCCACACGCCGCCGGGTCTACGCCGTCAGCAGCCCCGCCCCGTCCCGCCCCGCCCGGCTTCCCCCTCGCCCCGCGGCGAGTGCGACAGAGACCCACCGCGGGACGTGAGCTGCCAGCGCCGGCGGCCTCGGGTGCGACGGCAGGGTGAGAAAGAAGTGTTCTGGGCCCCAGGGCTCCTTTCTGTCCGGTCGGCTCCCGTCTGGACATACGCTCGAGGCCGCCCGGAGGCCGCAGTGCGGCTAGGAGGCCCCACCGGCCACCCCCGCAAGGCTGCGGCGCCTTTAAGCCCAAAGGCCCTGAGTCACGAGGAGGCTCCCTGCCCCCCTCGCCCTCCACCCCTCCACGAGGCCCCACGCCCGCGGGCACGTGACCGCGCCCCGCCCGGGACTCGCGCACGGGGCGGGGGATGGGGTACCGTAGCGCCGGACCCGGCTGCGCGCGGACCGTTAGCTACTGCGGCCGGGACGCGGCCCCGCCCAGGCGAGCGACGGGCGGCTCTTACCAGCGGGAACGCCATGGGGCCGGTGTGGCCCTGCGGGGCTGACGGGCTGGCGGGCCGGCCGGCCGCCGGGCGAGACACGCGCACGCACGTGGGCACTGTTTCTGCAGCGGGCCGCACGCAGCCCCGCACCTCGGCAGCTTATGAAGCTCCACCGAGCCGCTCCTCGGAGCCGCCCCCCGGCCGGATGCGGAGCACCTGTGTCGGCCCCGCCCGGGCCCTCGCCTCCGCCCCCGCGCGCCCCGCCCCTCCCTGCAGGCCGGGCCGAGGAGGGCTCTGCCGCCCACCCGCACGCCGGCGGGGCCTGCCGCTGCTGCTAGCCACAGCCGCCCCCTGGGAGGACCCTGAGCGCGCCACTCACCTAAGTGACCCTGGCCGAGTCGTTGTCTGCCCTGAACCGCAGATCACCCCCTTACGAAAGAGGGCACGATTTACAAGCCCCTGCGAGCGGCGGGATCGCTTTGTCAGTACAGCCGCGTATCCACGCTCCTCTTCCAGTGATCTCTCCAGGGCGAGAGCCAGCCCTGCAGCCTCGGTCCAAACCGTAGCACCCGGGCTCCAGGAGGCGCACGCACTTTAGACTCACTGCTACGTGCGCTGCAGAGGGGGCGGCGGGAGTCAGGACATTCCAGAAAGTTCCAAAGACATCACTGGCCCTCTTTGGACAGGAGTTCCCCGGGGAAACCGCTTCAGACGCTCCCGACAGACCGAAATAGAAAGTTTCACAGAAATAGAACAAGGGACAGGGCGAGGGCTCCAGGCAGGCGTCCTGGGGCAACTGGAGCAGGGGCGGACCGGAAGCCCCAGGCAAACGCAGAGGCGGAGATGGCATTCCAGGCGGGAGACCAAGCAAAGGCAGAGTGAAAGGACTGCACAGAGCGGCCCACTCTGACCGGGACTGAGGATGATGCGAGCTGATACCGCCGGAGGAAGCCTGGGCCGGGTTTGTAAAAGGCCTTTATTCTGCAGACAGCAGGAAACTTAAAAAATTGTGAAAGGGGTTGGCAATTGTCAGGTCTGTTTTAAGGTATTACTGGAGACTTAGAAGAGGTTGGACAGCCCAGGCGCGGTGGCTCACTCCTGTAATCCCAGCATTTTGGGAGGCCGAGTTGGGCGGATCACCTGAGGTCGGGAGTTTGAGACCAACCTGACCAACATGGGGAAATCTCCTCTCTACTGAAAAGAAAAAAAAAAAAAAAAAGCAAAATTAGCCAGGCTTGGTGGTGCTTGTCTGTAATCCCAGCTACTCAGGAGGCTGAGGTAGGAGAATCGCTTGAACCCGGGAGGTGGAGGTTGCGGTGAGCCGAGATTGCGCCATTGCACTCCATCCTAGGCAACAAGAGTGAAACTCCGTCTCAAAGAAGAGGTTGTATGTAAAAGGGGGAAAACAAGGGACCAGAGTTTATTGAGCATTGTTAACTGTCTTACATGTGTCAGGTTATCATGATACTATTTAATAAGCACTTACTATGCTCCCGGCTACTCCTGGCACTTAGGGAAGATGGTACTGCCGCCTTCCTGGCCTGGCTATAATGGCTAAAGGGAGACGGGCAGTTAACTGTCAGTTTCTGCCTCAGGTGATGGAGAAAGAAGAAACTGATGGTGTAGTCTAGTGTTTCAGAGGATTAACGGGGGAAGGAAACTGATGGTGTAGTCTAGTGTTTCAGAGGATTAATGGGGGAAGGATGGTGAGCCTAAGAGCAGAAATCCACAGCCAGGGGCGGCGGGTCACACCTGTAATCCTAGCATTTTCGGAGGGTGAGCCAGGCAGATCATGAGGTCAGGAAATCTAGACCATCCTGACTAACACGGTGAAACCCCCTCTCTCCTAAAAATACAAAAAAATTAACCGGGCATGGTGGTGTGCGCCTGTAGTCCCAGCTGCTTGGGAGGCTGAAGCAGGAGAATCACTTCAACCTGGGAGGCATAGGTTGCAGTGAGCCAAGGTCATGCCACTGCACTCCAGTCTGGGCAACAGAGCAAGAATCCATCTCAAAAAAAAAAAAAAGAAAGAAAGAAAAAGAAAAAAGAAAAGAACTCTACGAGGGAGTGAGTGACAGTGGGATTTGGCCAGTCTCCATCCACTTGTAGGTCTATCTACTTGCAGGAGCTTTTTTGGGTTACTGAGTTCATGGGCAGAAAGAGTGATGACCACAGGGACAAGGCAGGAGCAACTTTGCTGGGACCTCTCCCTCTTGAGCCATGTTTTCTCCAGGAGCAGACCACCCCTGAGTCTTGTCCTGCCCCACAAGCAGGGTAGGACAGTTGCTTGTCCTCTGAGAGGGTACCACACCCAGATACCTACAGCACAGGAGCCAAGTGAGGGTGGGTGACAATACTGAAGGTCCAAGGCACACCCAAAGGGGCCGTTAGCTGGGGAGCACCATGTAGAAATGAGGTTCCAGCCCAGCCAGATCTTTCAAGCTGGAAGTACTTTTTTAAGTGTAACCTTTAATGTGAATTTTAAAGTTGGTTACTAATCCAAATGATAAGAGCCAAACCCAGCATGTCCAAGGGCCCCCTGCAGCTCACTGGCTGCCAGTTTGTGATCCTTGACATCCTTTCCTCCTCTGTGACCCAAAAGCTGAGCAAGATAAGAATCTGAAACTCAGAATAGTGCCCAAGGGAATGGGTGTCTGGAAGCCCTTTTCATATTTCAAAATTCTCAACCATTAAGAAAAGAAAGGCATCTTTCAAGAGACTTGGAACAGAAATTTCTGCTGCCCAAAATCTCTCTTCCTAAACTTTCTGTTGCAGGTAATAATAATAGCTCGTCTTCAGTGATGGTTCACTATGCATGTGGCAAAGTTCTAAGTGCTTTACCTATGTTACCTCATTTTGCAGATGAGACTGAAGCTCAGTGAAGTTCAGTAAATTGCCAAAGACTCCCAGCTAAAAGTGGCAGAGCAAGGACTCAAACCAAGGCAGACTTCTGGTTTCAGAGCCTTTCAAGTGCTAACCAGGTGAGAATAAAACTTCCAACACGCTTATGTGTGTGCTTCTCTGTGAATGACCCCAGAGCTGACTGCAGATGTTGAGGGAAGAGGTAAATTTGACAAAATACAGTCATGACCTGAGGTGTGAGCGAGTCCTTGCTCCCTGCCTGCACTTGGCTAGGCCTGCAGGTCATACAAGAAGAATAGTCCCTCTGAAGGTGTCCATAATCCCCTGGGCAGGGTACGGAAAGTCACATAGGTGAATATATTAAATGACTTAGTAAGGTCCCCACACTGGTCACTGGCAGAAGTAGCAGGAACAAATAGGCAGCATTATCTATTCTCCCAGTCAACAAACAGCCTTTGAGCCCAGCTATGCCTGGCACTGTCTCTGCAGTCAAGCCCCAGACTTACAATACAGGTTTTAAATCGAACTATAATTAGTTGGACTACATTTTAAATATATGTACTAGGGAAACAGGAGGGACCTTGTAGTCTCGTATATGCTCAGGTGTTCAGTGCTTCCACAGCAGGCAGAGAGCTAAAAGAAAAGAGGAGTTTTCCAGGAGAAAATAATTTCCTGGTTGTAAAAGATTAGAAAAGGAATTCACTTAGGAGCTCAAGACCACAAGGTAGACACAGTCTCTGCTCAAGTTTTGCCAAGCTCTGTACAGAAGAAATCATGTTGTTTGTTTTTTTCAAGTTCCTTTTAAGTGGGATAAAAGAGTGGATTGGCCCCACATTTTATCTTACATAAAAGTAAGTTAAAAATACAATTCTAGGCCAGGGGCAGTGACTCACACCTGTAATGCCAGCACTTTGGGAGGCTGAGGAGAGCAGATCATGAGGTCAGGAGTTCAAGACCAGCCTGACCAACATGGTCAGGTTAAAATATTAGCTAGGTATGGTGGCACATGCCTGTAATCCCAGCTACTCAGGAGGCTAAAGCAGGAGAATCCCTTGAACCCAGGAGGCACAGGTTGTGGTGAGCCAAGATTGCACCATTGCCCTCCAGCCTAGGTGACAGAGCAAGACTCCATCTCAAAATAATAAAATAAATAAATATAATTCTGAAAAGCTTTACTTAGAATTTTTTTAGAAGAAAATATAGGAGAATTTTTTTAACCTCAGCCTGTGGATGAATTTTGTAAATTAGGAACAGTAAGCACAAGATATAAAGGAAGATAATACATTTAACCACACTGGAATTAAAAATTTTGGTTTACTAAAAGATATTGCTGAAAGCTTGAAAAGACAAGCCATAGACTGGAAGAAGATATTTGCAATCCACATATCTTCAAAGGACTAGTTTCCAGACTGTGTAAGAACTTCTGGCCTGGCATAGTGGCTCATGCCTGTAATCCTCCCAGCATTTTGGGAGGCCGAGGAAGGTGGATCACAAGGTCAGGAAATCAAGACCAGCCTGGCCAAGATAGTCCCCATGTCTACTAAAAATACAAAAATTAGCCAGGTGCGGTTGCAGGTGCCTGTAATCCCAGCTACTTGGGAGGCTGAGGCAGGAGAACTGCTTGAACCCAGGCAGGAGAGGTTGCAGCGAGCCTAGATGGTGCTACTGCACTCCAGCCTGGGTGATAGAATGAGACTGTCTCCAAAAAAAAAAAAAAAAGAACTTCTATGATCAATGAGGAAAAAAAACACAACTCCATAGATAAATGGGCAGAAGATGGGAATAGACAGTTGACAGGAGTGAAAATCCAAATGGCCAACAAACATACCAGTAGATACCTACCCTCATCAGTAACCAGGGAAATGCAAATGAAGCACAGCCAGATGCCTTGCTACACTTTTCAAATGGAAAAAATGATCAAGTCTCACTGTCCCAATAGCAGGATCACTGCCAGTAAGGGCGTAAACTGGTTCAGCTACTTAGGTGTGTGCTTTTATGTTTTACATCTTTCAAGGGGGAGATGACAGTGTATAGAGTGCACAGCTCTTAAGTGTATACCATAAGGTGACCGCCACCCGCATCAAGACATAGAATCTCTCTCGAACCCCTGTTGGGTTCCATCATGCCCCTTCCCACTTTATACCTCCCTCCCCAAGGTACTGTTATTCTTACTGCTTTTCATGACAGATTTAACCTGTTCTAAACTTCATAGAAGTTTTGGTTTTTTTCATTCAACAAACCTGTGAGATCCATCCATCCATGTTGTTGCATGTAGGAGTAGTTTGTTCCTTTGTGTTGCTAAGTAGTATTCCATTGTATAGCTATAACATAGTTTATTTCTGTATAGTCTTATTGATTGAAATTTGAATTCTTTCCAGTTTGGGGTCTTTTATGAATAAAGCTGCTAGAAATATCCTTGATGTGAAGTTTGGCAACTCTGTTGAGCAATTTGGATTCTCCAGTTAACTTGAAAAAGTGTGTACTCACCAGACACGGTGGCTCACACCTGTAATCACAGCACTTTGGGAGGCTGAGACAGGCGAATCACAAGGCCAGGAGTTCAACAGCAGCCTGACCAACATGGTGAAACTTAGCTGGAGCATAGTGGCACACGCCTGTAATCCTAGCTACTCAGGAGGCTGAGGCAGGAGAATCACTTGAATCTGGGAGGAGGAGATTGCAGTGAGCCAAAATGGCGCCACTGTACTCCATCTGCAATCCTAGGCAACAGAGCGAGACTCCATCTCAAAAAAAAAAGTGTATACTCTATGACCCAGCAATTTAATTCCTAGGAAAATACGTTATGGAAACTTTCATGTGTGTTAAGTGGCACAAGTAAAAATGCCCGTAGCTGTTTTGTTAATTAATAGTTGTAAAAACGAAATAAAATAACAATCTTAAATGCCCACCAACAGAAGAGTGGATCAATAAATTATGGTATAGTCATACAATGGAATACTATATATAAGTAAAAGTAAATGAAATATAGCGAATTATATCAATATGACTCACAAACAATAGTGAAAAAGGAGGATGTAGGAGAAAACATACTCTAAGATGCCATTGGTATAAAATTTGAAAATGTGTAGTACCCACCACTATCACAAAGTATAGTACTACATATTGTTCAGGAACACATCTGTATATAGTGAAAGTACAAAAAATGCATGGCATTGATAAACAGAACACTCAGAATGATGACTTGTTTCAGGTAGGAAAGGAAGCAGTCACGAAATGAGGGATATAGGGGACATTGATGAGCACTGAATTGATGGGTGCTTCAGTTCTTAAGTTGGGTGATTATGTTAGTCTTTAAACTTGAAATACATAATATTTTAAAGAGACGGAGATGGGAGTAATTAAGGGCAGTGATGTGCTGGTAAATGGCTGGGGGAGGAAAGTGATTTGTAGCAATTGGCTGGGGGAAGGAAGTGATTTGTAGCATTTGCCTCTTAGGTGACATAAAAACTCCCACCATGGCTGATTTCAAATTGTCTGTGTGACATCATCTGACTCACAAAATTCCTGAACATGTAATAACATTCAGCCCTTATGAGCCAGTAGAAGCCAGCTCAGGCATACCACTCAGACACTGAATGTGGGAGCAGAGTGCTCTGAAGGCCAGAGCCGGGGACCCAGGCTCCCTGAGGGCTTTCCCAACAACCTAGGAGATGGATGGAAGTCTCGATTGTATTATTTGTTTATTGCTGTTAAGTTACCCCTACAGCTAAGCAGCTTAAAACAACAACTATTTGTTATCTTGCACAATTTCTGGGAGTCGGGAATTGGAGAATGACTTAGTTGGCTAGTTCTGGCTCAGAATCTCTCATGAGGTTGCAGTCCTGATGTCAGCCACAACTGCAGTAACTTGAAGCTTTGCCTTGGGCCGGAAGATCAGCTTCCAAGCTCACTCAAGTGGGTGCTGACAAAAGCCTCAGTTCCTTGTCACGTCGCCATTCTTCTGTTTCTTTACTTCCCTGGTAAACTTGCTTTCACTTTATTATTATGATTATTATGATCATTTGAGATGGAGTCTCGCTGTTGCCCAGGCTGGAGTGCAATAGCGTGATCTCGACTCACTGCAACCTCCACCTCCCAGGTTCAAGCTGTTCTCCTGCCTCAGCCTCTCAAGTAGCTGGAATTACAGGCACTCGCCACCACGCCCAGCTAATTTTTTTAATCTTTAGTAGAGATGAGGTTTCACCATGTTGGCCAGGCTGGTCTTGAACTCCTGACCTCATGATCCACCCGCCTTAGCTTCCTAAAGTGCTGGGATTACAGGTGTGAGCCACCGTGCCCACCCGGCTGCTTTCACTTAAAAAAAAAAAAAAAAAAAAAAAAAAAAAAAGGAATGCAGAATTTCAGGCCCCACCATAGGCCTACTGATAGAATCTGCATGTAATTGGATCCCCAGGTGACTTGACACAAAGCGGTTTGAGAAGCACAATTATACATCTTCTATTCTTCCACTAAGATGACCAGTGGGTCAGTACTCCAGCCAGTGGGTCAGTACTCAAGCCAGGTGTGGCCTTCAGGTACCCTAATGGGAGGTAGTTGACATATGTTGAACTGAGCACCTGTGTTTGGCGAACTCCCCATGCTGTAAGTCCTTCCTTCCCAAGGGCCCATAAGGAGAACTAAGGGGGTCTGCCAGCCATTGGAGAGGACTTGTTTTTGCCGAGGCTATTAAAAGGACTAAGGTGCTCTTCCAGCTCTGCCTTCCCATCCCGGCCCAGATGTTGCTTCCACAGGGATGCCTCCAGACTCCTAGGCATCCTGACCCAGAGATGGTCACCTTGGGGATTCAACTAGAGCTGTTCCTGAGAAGTAGTCACAGCTTTCCCTACAAGGTCACAAGAGCCAGATACTGTCACCCTGAGCAGCTGTCCCCCAAACCCCTATAAGGAAAGTCAAGCCAGCATCTAGGGAGAAGACATTTTATTGAGACTGCTATATAAATAGCTACAGAAAGCTGGGAGGACCAAAGGGAGTGGCTGCCATCTCCTTCTGCACAAATCACTAAGGAACCCATGGGGAGAGGATTAGGAGGTCCTGGTTTTCCAGAGGGAGAGAGAACACCCTGAATGCTATCTGGCATGAGGAGGTTGATGAGAAAGTGA